TTTGATTAGGTGCGCTGCGAGAACTTAGCGCACCTTTTTTTGAAAGTCTTTTTTTTTGTATTTAATGACCAGAACTATTTAAAATTGTTGCAAAGAGCTCTAGAACTTTTCAAGAGAGTATCAGAACTGCAAAAAAATGTCACATTTTTGAATATGGTGTGCCAAGACTTGGCACACCATATTTAAAAATGTGACATTTTTTTTAAAGTTTTGATAAATGAAAATAAAAGTTGCAATCTCCAATGGCCTAAACCTTTACAAATGTTATACAAATGATGATGTTAAATATTCAAGAGGTTTTAGTCGTTATTTCGACGTGGTCATTTCCAAATGGTCCACTCACGATTTTTTCATTTTTTCTTTTATTTTCATTTTTTAGTTAAAACGGATAAAAAATTATCGTAGATATTTACGATAATTCGAAAAAACATGTTTCCGACAAAAATTACTTTTCTTCGACGTAGCATCATTATAGGGGATTCCCTTTGAAGAAAACGAAGGTTACCTAATTTTCGCCGAATGCAGCGCCATCTATCAGAAATAGAAAAAAAAAGTTCAGACAAAAGTTACGTGTTTTTGGATGTAGAATCGGAATCTGTAATAAAAAGTAGGGGTTCCCATTTAAGATTTCAAAGTTACCCCCCGCCCCATCCACAGAGGGGGCGGGAGGTGGATAATTTTTGTGGGATTGAATTGCGCCCTTGAAACTATTGAGGGTTTATTTGGGACATTTTTGTCGTACAATGCTTATTTTTCGAGATATTTAGCAGTCTCAAGTTAAAAAAAACATCCTGTTTATATATACATATCTACAGGGTGTTGAAAAAAAGGATCACATATTTTGATAGCAGGTAGTATTGATCAAAACAAGAAGAAAAGGTCTAATTACTTAACATAGGTCCTAAGACTAATATCTTCTAAGATACAAGCTATTTTGTTATTTGAGCTCTTTGTCATTTTCTTATTAGTCGTGTCATCTTTAGAATGTAATGAACAAAGGAGTAGGGGAGAGTGGGGTACAATGGGGATATCTTTTTTCTAGGTGCCTTAAAAAATAAAAAAATTAACTAAGAGAAATAAAGACACAATTTTTATTTTTTAATATGAAATGTAATCATTTAGCTTCCATAAAAAAACTGAAGTAAAGAAACTGAATGTATCCTATCAGAAAAAGTGCGTGTTAACTAAATCTCGAATATATCGAAGTGGGTGAAGCCTTTTTTCCGCGATGCTAATTGGTCGTTTCAACCGTCTCGATTGTCTCGATCCCGTCGCAGTTGAATTCGTGCCGCTTGCAGCTGTTAGCCGCGGTGACAGATCAGGTTGTGTTGTTCGCGTCATATAAATTTGATATTTATTGTAATCCCAGCAAACACAATGTTATATGTAACATACATATTGTAATTTCTTACTCAACAAACAATATAACTGTTATATAATATACGGGTGTATATCAGTTGGACACGGGGCAATTGGACACAGTCCAATCACAAGTCGCTGTTCCAAGGGACCCTACAAATGTCTCTAATCACACGGTGCTGTGATTGGCTGTGTCCAAATGCACCGTGTCCAAGTGCACTGCCCCCATAATATATGTGTTATATAACAGTTACATTGTTGAATAGGAAATTACAACTAACATGTATGTTATATGTAACATTGTGTTTGCTGGGAATATAATTTGTAAAAACGAGTATTGTAATATAAATTGTAAATAGTACAACGAAAAGGCTAAAGTGCGCGAAGCGCGCGCTATGTGGTGTTCTAGTGATAACAAAATAAAAACTCTTTTTTTACAAAACACAAAAAATTTTAATGCTGACTCAGCATTAGAGGAGGTGCTCTATGTGATTCACTCTCACGCATGTTTCAGCCCTACGTCTTAGAGAATCACGCACTCTTTCAAATACACCTGGCTGGTCAGAAATTTGTCGACACGCATGGAAAATGCGATTTAGATTTAGTTATGGGGATACTTAAAGACCTTGGTGTATTCAACACCCGTCGATAACATCCAAACACTGCAGGATCGCATTTTCCATGCGTGTCGGCAAATTTCCGACCAGCCAAGTGTATTTGAAAGAGTGCGTGATTTTCTAAGACGTAGGGCTGAAACATGCGTGAGAGTGAATGGCAATCACATAGAGCACCTCCTCTAATGCTGAGTCAGCATTAAAATTTTTTGTTTTTTGTAAAAAGTTTTTATTTTGTTATCATACATTCAGTTTCTTTACTTCAGTTTTTTTATGGAAAATAAATGATTACATTATTATATGGAAGATACATGATTACATATTAAAATAAAAATTGTTTCTTTATATCTTTTTGTTAATTTTTTATTTTTTAAGACACCTAGAAAAAAGATATCCCCATTGTACCCACTCTCCCCTACTCCTTTGTTCATTACATTCTAAAGATGACACGACTAATAAGAAAATGACAAAAAGCTCAAATAACAAAATAGCTTGTATCTTAGAAGATATTAGTCTTAGGACCCATGTTAATTAGACCTTTTCTTCTTGTTTTGATCAATACTACCTGCTATAAAAATATGTAACCCTTTTTTTTCAACACCCTGTATATACATACTTTGTTCATTAAAAAAACTGTAACATATTAGCTGTTATTTAATATAAATTAATATTTTATATACATTATTCAGTCAAAGGGAGTTACGTGCTAAAGAACTCGTAACGGTTTTTCGTATTTACAATTTTCTTTGTAAAAAATACAAATACAAAATATTATTTAAACCTTTAAATATTCAGCAGCTTCAAATTCATCTCTTTTTTCCAAAGTATGAATCAATCCAGTCAAATTTTTTATCTTCATCTACTTGCGTGAATTTTTATTACGAGCAGCTGCAGTTTCAGACTTTTGATAGGCCAAGTATCTAAGAAATCGATTCCAAGCTTCTTTGCTTACAAAATCATGTCGACATAAATATTCTGTCTTATATCCAGTCATGAAACGAACTTGTTTTGCTTTTCTGATGTCGTCAAATGATTGTTTCCTAAAATTGTGATTAATATTACATATATGAAAGTAGGAATGTAATTCAGTTATGCATCAGTAATGCATTTTTATTTTACCTTTTCTTACTATTTTTTTTGTTACTTGGAATATTACAACTTAACATTTCACAATCACTTAGAGACAGCTCTTCTTCATCTTCAGTAGACGTTTCAGACACTTTTTTAGTACTCGACTGTAAGTTTATATTGTTTAGCTTATCATTTTCTTTAGAGTCGATAGATTGTATCAAAGATATCTGTGTTGGAACAGCTTCTTTGCATAGCCGCTTTCTTTGATTAAATTCATCAGAATAAAAATATGACTTTGAATCAAAGTGATCACTGCAAATGTGTGCAGTTTCAAAATTCGGCATTTTTGTTATATTTGTTATATTTATAGCATCAATCCATTTTTGCCTCATAAATTCGTTTTTGGGAAACCTGCATTCATAAAAATAATATATATTTTGATTCAATTTTTAGGTTAGGATTACCTATAAACTGCAAATGCAATACTTACAGATGAAAAGTACGGTATACTGGACCTGGTTCTACCTTACATATCAGGCATTTTGGCATCTTGACTAATATTGATTGATCTAATTTGCAAATTCACATTAATAGCACATACACAGTAAAAATACAGCGTACGCTCAAACTCATATACTCATATATTGACATACTACAGCATCTCACTCAGTATATTACGTGTGTACCGCGCATGCGCGGCTAAACAAAGACAGAGAGGTCCCATATATAGCTTTCTCTTTCTATTCCTTTATCGATTTCTCGGCCTGGTCGCGTGGTCTATTCTAGTAAATCTATGGTAAATTGATAAGTCCCGATCTACAATAGGTGTAGTAAGCTTTAAGGGATGTCTACATTGGAAGTAAGTAGTAAGAAGTAGGAAGTAAGAATAAGAAATTGACCAATCATAGTTGATTATTTTTCTCACATTCGACTGTGGTTGGTCAATTTCTTACTCTTACTTCCTACTTCTTGCTATTTACTTCCAATGTAGACGTCCCTTAAGGGATTTGTTCGAACAAGTTTGGACTTGATATTTTTTTTGCAACTTGTACCTTGTAATTTCGGTACCTTGACAAAAAGAGAAAGTCTTTGAGAAGTTATTTGAGAAAGTCTGCAAGCCAAGTAAAATATAGAGAAGAAGAAGAGAAAGAGAGTGAGTTCCGGCCGGGTGTATATCAGTTGGACACGGGGCAATTGGACACAGTCCAATCACAAGTCGCTATTCCAAGGGACCCTACAAATGTCTTTAATCACACGGTGCTGTGATTGGCTGTGTCCAAATGCACCGTGTCCAAGTGCACCGCTCCCGTTCCGGCCAGTCCCGGCCTAATTGCCGTTACGTGTAGACGTGTCCAAATAAGTTTGGACCTATATGGATATTTTTTTTGGAACTTGTACTTTGGTACCTTAGCAGAAAGACTATTTGAGAAAGTCTGTAAATAAAGTAAAATATACAGAAGAAGAAGAGAGAGAGTGTGTAAATTGATAAGTCTTCAGCGTAAAAGTGTATGTATGATAAAATAAATAATTTTTCTTTTTAATCTCGAATAATATTTTTTGTGTTTATTTAGATTTTCACGAATACGATGGAAGACATTCAATTCCCGTCGGATTTTGTATGTTCTACTATGTGGGTGAAGAGAGGCGTTGCCGCAACCAATCCCCAGGAGGTTAGGATCTAAATTGTCTTATGTTATTTTTTTATATAAAAATACTGATAATTTTATATAAAAATACTGATGTATTTTCTGCAATTTTTAGATCTTATTAAAACCTGCTGATTTCGAGAATATTGTAAAGCAGATTCAAGCGTATGTATTGAAATAATATGACATTTCATACAAATTGTTTATCATCTAAAGAATAATTTATAACTGTTTTTTATTTGTATAATGTATAACTAGTTTTTTATATAGTGATATAAACACAGATAATGATTCAGATAAAGAGATAGATTCATCCAGAGAGCAATCTGATATATTAAGAGGATTTCCTGCATCTGTCTCTAGTGGTGATGAATATAATTTCACCAACTATGATAATGAGAGTAAGAAAAATATTTAAAAAAATTGTAATTATATAGAAATGATATTTTCTTAAGTGATTATTTTTGTTTTGCAGCGGGCAATGTGCATTGTCATATTGCTAATATAGCCAGCTTTGATGTCAATGGCAAGGATCCTCTTATAACAAATGATGATGATGATGATTCTGATAAAGAAGATGACATTATCAAGAATGATGACAACTTGTTCTTAATTGCACAAAATAGCAAAGATGTAGCTACTTTAGAAGTACATGGTTTGTATCAAATTGTGTATATTTTTTACAACTACTATTTTTTACAACTACTACTAATAGTATAACTGATTTGATAAAATCTGATCTATCATATAATTTTAGATATTATGAAATTATGCAATTTATAATTTCAGTATATAATGAAGAAGAAGGATCCTTTTATTGTCATCATGAACTACCTATTTCTTCTTATCCATTATGTATGGAGTGGCTTAATTATGATCCTGATGATCCAAAACCAGGTGAATAAGAGTGATATATAATATGATAGTCTCATTATGAAAAATATTTATAATTACTATATGTATAATCATTACAAATATATTGCAGGCAATTTATGTGCAATTGGTAACATGACTCCTATAATTGAAGTATGGGACTTGGACTTACTGAATAGTGTAGAACCAGCCTATAAACTTGGTTGTAAATCAAATAAGAAGAAAGGACAGAAGCGTGTTGGACATAAAAATGGGGTTTTAGACTTGGCCTGGAATCAAAATTACACGTTAGTTTTCTATTTTAGATGTATAGAATAATATATTCAGTTTTATAATTATAGCAGAGGAACTTTGTTACAGACATATTCTTGCTAGTGGTTCAGCTGACAAGACGATTTTGCTATGGGATTTAGAAAATTGCAAACCTGTGACTAAGCTCGACTCGTTTAGAAAAGAAGTAGCTTCGTTGAAATGGCATCCACAGGAAACTCATAGACTGTTAACAGGATGTCTAGACAAGTAAATTTAATTGTTATTATTTTTGCTTGTTATGTTCACATCACAAATATCTACAACACAATTGACACTATATAACTTTTTTTTCTTAAGAACAATACGATTATTTGACTGCAAAGAAGAAACTGTTGTGAAAAGTTGGGATGTACAGACAGCAGTGGAAAAAGTGCTATGGAATCAATATAACACAAATTACTGTATTGTACGTTCTACAAGAATTTTTTATATTAGTGCTCCGTGTATCTGTATTTTTTCTAGCTATGTTTCTTCTTTACAGGCTAGTTTAACCGAAGGTCATATATCGTACTTTGATGTAAGAGCAGACAAAGCTGTTTGGGAAATCAAGCCTCACAATGAGGATGTCTCAGGTAAACATTGTCCTTATATACTCTTCAGAAGAAATATTTATATACCAGCTTTTGTACAATCTTTTTGTGAATCTGATCCTTTCCAGGTCTTATTCTCAGTGCCTCATATCCAGGTCTGTTAGTATCTTCCTCAGACGATGGTTTAATAAAGGTGTGGGATATCATCAACCATGAACCTACACTTGTGTGGGAAAAAGAAGTTCCAAGCTATATAGTTTGCATCGCAGCGAATCCGGATAATGGATTCATATTTGGTATCTGTAGAACGAAGAAACCGTCGGGGACGCACACCGAAGTGTTGGACTTCTCGGTGATCCCAGAAGGTACGTATAAGCACTTTCAATACAACTTAAGTATCAATATCGATTGTATGTTTTATCTTGGTTAATAGTGCGGGACAGATTCGCGGATCGCGTTGCGTCACATTCTCCTGCAGGAGGATTCAAACAAAGCGAAACGGTGAACGTTATCGAAAAAATGGAAGATATGGAAATCGATGAATAAAAAGAAGTAGATGTAATATATGTGATACTCAAAATACAAACGAAGTTTGTGAGTGTTCACGGAAACTATAAATCAAATCTTCGACTCTCTCTTTGTATATATTTTTTTTATACAAATAGTTGATTAGATTGTAAAGATCTATCGATATAAAATAATGAGAGAGGGCTATTAAAAAACGCTTGCGTTGTCTTTGAAAATGTGTGATTTATTGTTTCCCTGTAACAATATTAATAACCCCAAGATTATCCTGAGCCTTACATCTTGTCCAATGTAACGCTCGTATTGAAAATAACGTACAGTGCGTATAATTACAATATTTGATATTCAATCGTTCACGTGTCTCAAATTTTTCTCAGAGTGATATTCGCACTGATATTCGCACAATATAACATTCAATAAAGACGAACGCATCGCGCGCAATTTCACGAGGTAAATGTACAATATAAGTTTGTTAGAGCAATAGCAACATTTTATTTAGTGTCTTGAACGAATGATTAATAACATCAAATACACTCGGAAACTCGATATCTCGAGCGGCTCGTGTTCGAATAAAATTCAATGTACAAATTTAAGTATACGCCGACCACACTCAGAATTCTCTCGTTCACTGTGCTGAAGTGCGAACTCTAAATTTTGCGCATAGAAACAAGCGTTGGTTATGCGTATAAAACAGAAATAATTTATACGCGATTCCACAAAATTGTGTAAAAATATTATCTACGCGTGAAGGTTCTTTCTGTTGTTCTGTCTGTCTAAACGTGTTGCCTGGTTACATTTATTTATTGATTAGAGATCCATTCGAAAAAGCTACAAATTTTCTTACTTGACGGCACAGTCTCTTCATGTGTCCACTTAAATGGAATTCAAAGTACTGAGAGCAAGTCTAAGGGCTAGTGGTCGGGTGAGGGGAGGCGAAGGAGGCAGTCGTGAGAATCTTTTTTACAATGAGTTTCTCTTGGTGATATTATTCCACGAGTATACAATCCACCTATCGATTATTTCATTAACCCGATATCGATAAGGATATTATTTACTTTCATTTCGTTAAAATCGTTACAATGATGCTGCATAATCGCCGGGCATTATATTAACAATCGTCGTCTTATGCACAACTCCTCCGTTCCTACTTTATGCAGTCACTAATGGATCTCTGGGAATTATTTATGGTCCTTGCAACTGCAATTTAAAAACAATCAATTATTAATTTAATTCAATAACAAGAACTCTCTTCTTGTCTCCTTCTCTCTCTCTTTCTTGAGCAGTTACAAATAGGATAAAAATAATAATATTCGAGAATCTTTCGCGTGTGTGTGTGTGCACACACACATTTCTAAGCAAAATTTACACATTTTTGTTCTACAATGGTAAAACAAGTTTTATTCGCTGATCGTGAAATTTTATGAAACATCGCTTGGTTATTCGGTATCATTACGAATAATATGCATATATTACATATTCGAAAATCGATATTCGACTGTACAATTTTCAGAAACATCGCGAGCGTAATTGAACGTTTTTGGACACGTTGTTCATGATCAGTCAATAGGTATAATCGTACGAAAATGATGACAAATACGTAGAGGAGATTCGCGAAAATAATATTCTTTGCTACAAAATAATCATTTAATGCGAAGGAAAATTACCACAATGAAAGAGATAACGGAATGAAGACAAAAGTGTACATATGTACGTACTAATGTCAGCGCTGGTAATTATTGAAATTAAACGAAATCAATAATACAATTCATACATCACATGTCGCCTTGTAAACTAATGCTGAATAATAATCGCCTTACGACATGTTTTCTGGCAGTGGTCTCGTCAAGTTTAATAAAAGTCGAGGACATTTTATTATGTCACCAATGGTTCGTGAAGTTCCACTTGACGGATAATACCAATATATACAATTAAATTCGTTCCTTTTGCATCTAATTCCAACACAAATGGATGAAAAAGACTGACTAATCCGAGCTGAACGTAGACGGTAAAGACAAATCGATCAAAATAGTCACAAGAATGATGATCAATTAGATAGGGAACGCTCCGAACGTTTCGCTAACAGACTACGTCGTGTCGTTGAAGACGTTTTAAATAAATTTGTGCTAATATACCTTGTAAATAAATATTACGAGTAAAAACGTTCGTAAATTAAGCGCCCTTAAGTACAACTTTTTTTTTTATGCGAACATTGCGCGGAAAGACGCCGCAATTCGATTTATTAACGATTTGCGCAACAAGTTAAAACGATGAGATATACAAATACAAATATATGCATATACATATACATACATATGCACGTGCACATATACATATATACACGTGTTTTTCTTTTCTTTCCGTTAAATCATGAGCGATCAATAATATTCCCGTTGATAGCTTAAAATGTCTGACCTCGTTTATCGGCTGTGTGTACTTGTGTGTATGTGTGTGTATGTGTATATATATATATATATATATATATATATATATATATATATATATATATATAT